TTCGGTCCACGACTCCCTCTTGTCCCCATCTTTCATTCCTCCAGTCAGTTTTTGTTCCAGCTTCACCCACCCCTTTACCCTCTTGTTTACGGTTCTTTCCTGCCTTCTTTTCTGTCGAAAAGACTGATCAGGGTCAAAGAATTGGCAGAGTGTGACACAGTGAGAGGAGAGTCGGATGAAGACAGAGCGGAAAACACAGAAAAGAGGACGGAACGGGAATATGCAGGAGAGTGACTTTGCAGGGAATGTTATGTCAGACAGCAGGCCTCTGTTAATCAATACAATTGTGTCTGTTACCTGAAGCCATGAAAATTGGGAGAAGAGATGGGGAATACAGGGAGCCAGAGGGAGCGGGGAGGAAAGTGAGAAAAAAAAGGAAAAGGGAGGGAGGCCTGTTGGCACAAGAAATAAATTGAAAATGATGTGCTGTGTGTCTCTCACATATTAACCTTGCTATCTCTTAGGTAGTCATTATCTCTGTGTAGCTGTTACTGGGTGTTTGTGCATACTACATTAACCCTTACATCTCTCTGCAGTTCAGCTTCTTTCAAGGCATAGTGCTGCCCTGAAATTAACTTGCAAATGTTTATTCAAAGTCTTTAAATGGATATTTTAGGATGTTTGAAGGGAGGTTTTGTTGAAAGCAGCGCCAGATAACTCCTGGATTCTTTATCCAGTGTCCTCCTCTTATATCCTTTGGAGAAGCGCAGACCGACTAAAAACTTCTGATGCAAATCTGTTCCTATGCACTAATAAAAACTGAATTATAGTCGCAATTTTAAAAAGCGCAAGATCTGTGCAAGCTGTGTGGCTTTTATGCTTGGCGCATACCTTTGTGCACTATTCTATGAAAATTAGCCATCATAGAGGGATGACACACATACAGGCAGATTCAACCTGCAAAAATACCTTCCAAATAGTTCATTTTGATTGAAACATGCAATCTGCTTTCAGTTACAGAAATTTGGAAGTGAACTGACCAGGTGGCAGGACATTGGTCAGTACGCTTACAGTTCCTGAAACCACAAAAAAAAGAAAAACAAAAAATTTAAAAAAATTATAAAAGTGCATGCTGAATCAGTGCATGAAAGAGGAGGTGCACTTGGCCCCACCTCGGACTAGTGAAGAGATAAGGTTATTTGCATTTTGTTCAAAGGCAAAATTTCACCACTTATTCTTAGAGAACAAAATTTTGACACTTGTTAAACAATTAGTATAATGAATCCCTGTGGTCAAGACAGGAAAGGGGATGATTTTAAACCCAGAAGGCTTTATATTAAAACACACAGGGATAAACGAGGAGATTTTTATACTGTTGTGAGGTAACATGAGGATGCATTGGTACAAGTCTGAGCCTCTACAATGGGAAGATGAGCTGTGTCCTTTGTGAGGTATTAATACGTGCTGGGTGCTGTCTGGCTAGGAAGACTGCTGGGATCATTGCTGTAATTTGGGTTATTTTGTAAGATTTTGTTCTGTGACATTATGTTTTCATTTAACTTCATTCTAGCTTAAATTGATCATTACGTTCATTGATGTACATTTGTGAAAAAGGTATGGCACAATACAGATCTAAAATCAATAAGTATGTAAGTAAAATTGAGTCATATAGCACCTGTGATAGACAGAGCATCATAAGGATAGAAACATAAAAGCAAGAATCTACTCCAAATAAATAAAGCAGCCTAGTTAAAAGCCTGTTGGTGTGAAAATGTCTGCAGGGCTGAGAATGATATCTGTTCTTAGTCGTTTATCGGTTGATTAATCAAACCGAACAAAATGACTGTAAACAAACCAGTGGATGACGCAACCATTACTCAGGCTCTGAACTGAGAACCGCTAAAAGGACCGCTTTCTCATGTTAATGTTGCTCTGGGTCACATCATCCTTTGTCCTCTCTAAATAATGTTCACCCAAAGATAAAAGCATCTCTGTTTACATCTGCAAGTATTCTGGCAGCACATAAATCTGCATAACTTGGAATTGCGACACACACTTTCAAAACTAGAATTGGCAGTGAATGTGTAAGGTTGATGTTTTGGCATTATTAGCTGTGACAGATCCTGTTTGTTTAGTGTCTACTCACACCGTAAGTTAGTGTTTCCACAAACCTGCTCAGACATAAAAACATAGCTTGGGTGGATGTTGATAAAAAAGTAACCACAACTCCTTCACACGCAATATGCGCTTACAAAGTAGGTTCTTGCATTTTGGAACATAACCTTTCATATATGAGAAGGATTAGAGTTGTTATAAAAATGTGATGAAAAAAAAAAGTTTTGTTGACATCTATCTTTGTTCAAATGCTTGAAAAAGAGAGGGAAGAAAATCTTTAGGGAGTTTGGATGAAATGTGTCCTTCAAAGCAGAGGTAGAGCCCAGTTAGCGCCTTAATGCCACGCATCATCAGTCATTGTCAGGACAAATACTGAAAGTTGGCTGCTCCTGTATTACAGAACCTGGGAGATCTTCCAGTTATGCAGCTGAAACAATATGAAGCTTCAAAAACTAATTTAATTTGAGCAATTATGTGAGACTTTTAAATCTGCTGAGAACACATTAATTGTGTGACATTTTTTCTGCGCTAGTTTTAGAAGCATTCAAGGATGAAAAGCTCTTGATGTCATGGAAAATTATACGTGATGTGCTCTCAGTAGTACTTACCATAAGGCCTGTCACACCCAAAACATATGAGGTGAGAATTTACCCTCTGGGCTTTTCTGTTGGCAGTTAAGGAAGAAAGCACGGCAAGTTTTTGGTGACTCCTCCAAATTAAGTTTCTTCTGGCACCGAACCTCCATTTGCAGGGATGGGCTTGTTTTTTTGTGGGTTAAAATGAACGTTTCAGGTATGTACATACCTGAACAGAGGGATAGAGAAGAAGTTACCACTTGTAACTTATCATTTACAAATGGAACATGGCTAGGACGCCCAAACCTGAGAACATAAAGAGCAGCTTGGATGCATGTGATTCATGAGTACAAATCAAGTGTAATTGACTTACAGAAAAAATTAACAAGAAAAAAAAAAACAACAAAAAATTACAGTAAGTCTGATGAGACATGATAATTAAGATCAGGGGTCTTAATTACAGCTACAGTGTTTTAGTGTTTCAAATTTTAGGGTGGTTTATAAAGGGTCTAAATTTTTAGTTGCTGCGAAGCAAAATCACTTGCAGCCAAATATCGTTGAGGTATTGGGGATGAAACAGGTTGACTCTTGATAATCCATTCAATTTGTCTTGTGAGTTGGAGCTGAGGGAACGACATGCGTTTAGAGTATTTGTACTGCAAGTTGAGAAACACATTACACATTAGCTATTCTGCCTTCACTATATGAAATGTAAAGGCAGCTATACTCTTCCTGAGGAAAGTTGGCCTTTTGTCCACAGGTTTATTGAATCCAAGGAAGTGTGAAACCACAATGCTGCATCAGGGCAAAGGTGTATACAGATGGGACTGGACTGACTGAACACCTGGGTGACGTAAAATCTAACTTTCAGCCTGGCTTCCTGGCCAAAGGCACATGACATACAGCTGGGCTGCACCACACATAGACACACCTGCAAAAATCCCCAACAACACATTAGCAATAAGCAAAATGTTTTGCTAGTTTTTACACATTCAAACACTGAAAGAAAATAATGAGTAGTTGTTCGGTTTTCTCTGCAATTTGTGTGTAACTGGTTTAACAATACATGAAACAACTGAAGTGCTAAGAATGTTTTTTACTCTCAACTTTCATAACATGGTATACACTCAGAGGCAGCCATGTTGAAAACATAACTCGGGATGTTTGACAAGCTCCGACTGACACAGACAGACTTCCATGTTCAGGGCCATTGTTGTTGCTTTTCCGAGACAAAAGATCACTGCTCTGAAAATATAAAGCATCTCCAGTCAACATAACTATTGGAAGTAGTAAAAAGCAACAATAAGAGTGGTATAGGGGAACTCTATTGATTTTCACAATGCCCTACTTCTCTGTCAAATTGTTGCTGCGGCTGGAAAAGTTTCACATTATCAGAATGGAAGATCAGCAGCAGCGGAGCATATTTAACTTTGACTATATAATTGAACTATTAATAACTAATTTGCATTTGTATTAAATTAAGACCTAAAGAGTTTTTTGTTTCTGGTTACTTGTTACCTTGCAAAGTATTTTAACACAAACTGATTTCATGAATCCTGAACTGAGCTGGTGGAGTGGGTGCAGGATCTACTGAGGCTGTCACTTCTCAGTGCACCTGTCCTGGATAGACTCTCTCCCACCATCACCTGAATGTCTCCCTTTTCTTTCCAACCCTCTTTCCTGCCCAATAATTGGGAAATAAAGGCCACTAGTGCCACAAAATCTTTAAAATAAAATGCTAAACTTTCCCTGAGTGTGTGTGTATGCATCCATTTATGTGAGGATGAGTGTGTTTAAAGTGATCTTAATTGTTGTTATCATTTATGCAGCACAATAACTACTTCCACCCCCATCTTTGTCTCTGTCTGCTATTAAGTCCCTCCCCCTGTTTTACTCTAACAGCCTGTTTCTATTTTTCCTCATATTGTTGCTTCTCAGCCTGCAGCCTAAATAGCACCCATTTCATCTTCTCCCTGACTTGCTTTCTTCCAGTCCCTCCATTGGCCCCTGCTCCCCTCCTCACACACACAGACGCACACGCACACACACCCATCCTGCTTTTCCATATTCCTTGTCCTTTTTTTTTGGCCAAACCAATGTTAACCCTTTTTATCCCATGATTAGATTAAGTATTTCTTACACAGTTTGGCCTGCATGCTGTTTCTTACCAGTTTTTTCTTCCCAACACTGAGAACATCTCTTTTTCTGTGTCTTTCTGCTTCCTTCTTCAGACATCTTTATTCTCTCTGATCTGATGTTCTCTGTGTTGGGCATCATATAAAAAGAAAGACTTTAATCTTTTCTCCTCTTGATTTTTTTCCTATGGTTTACCTCATTCCTCTTTTCTCCTTGCTGTTTCTCTGTTTTCAGGCACCCTCTCTGAGTGCGATATATATCTGCCTCCCCCCCTCGGCAGGTTGCCATGGTCGCCATACCTACTCTCTCTCTCCTATTGGTCCTGGCAGAGTGGGCAGGTCTGGTGGACGCATCCCCCCACCTCCTGCTCCGGCCGAGCCCGCGGGAGCGTGATGCAGGGGCCGTGATGAACTTCAACATTGCCGTGATCCACGCCGGTGCCACGGTGCAGGCGGAGGCAGCGGTGGCGGGGCCAGGGGGAAGGGTGCTCTACCCCGGTTTCGGACGGGTATACGGCTCCCTGGGGGAGAGCGTGGTCACCCAGTGGGGCTCTGCTAACGTCATCTGGCTTCAGGTTAGACACTGTGTCCTCTGCTCACTCAGCCTTACTTCAAGGTGGAGAATAACAATCCATTATTCATCCTTATTGAGCTGAATGAGCAACACATTCCTGTTGTATAAGGCCCGCTGAAAGAGCAGTTGTCAGCCTCCACTCCTTGAGTATATCTTGTATTGTTAGTGAAACATGTCATACATGCTACAGACACCTTCAATATAAATGACACACTGTCAACACTCCCTGTCCTGGATGGCCAACTCTACTTGTCTCCTGTTTTCTGCCCCTTCTTCATCCCTCCCTTCATCTCTCAGGTGAATGACAGCAGCCCTAAGACGGTGCTGTCCCAGCTGTGTGAGTTGTTAGCGGCGAGGCCCCTGCAGGGTCTGGTTTACGAAGAGGAGAGGCCCCCTCGGACGGCTTGGGGTCCCATGGCCCCCATGCTGGAGTTTGTCTCTGCACAAACAGGACTGCCTATAGTGGCTGTAGGCGGGGGAGCAGGGCTGGGGAGGATGCCACAGGTAGGAGAAGGGAGGTTGGGAAAGTCCAGAGGCAATTTGTGTAACTGAGACATATGCAGACAATTACAAAGTGGAGCATTATAATGAAATGTGAGAACAACTTACATTTTCTATGTTTTTTTTCCCCTCAAGAGTACCAAATTTGTCATAAACTTCCTTCAGAAATAATTCCTTCACCTGTTTGTAATTTTGTTTCAACTACTGGTGAGATAAAAATTATTAGGCCCTGTGTGAAATTTTAAGCTTTTTTCAAAAACTTTCCCAAATGCTGTTAAACAATTTTTCAATGCAGCTTTTCCAAACATCCTACATTTTATTTTGGAGCCAAGAGATCCATAGATACTTTGGAGGAGATGCAGAGGTCCATGGCTCAGGACCGTGTTAAACTTTTTTATTATTATTTGTAAAAAAATAATTTTGTTGGTCTATCAAATAAAGTCCCAATAAAATACAGTATGATTAGTGGCTGTCAAGCAAAAAGAAGTAAAAGTTCAAGAGGTAGATAGTTTTCTACTCACCTTTTGTGCTTGCAAGATGCTGCATCTCAGCATTTCTTTCATAAATAGCTGCTGCTTACATTACAGTATGCATTTGAATTTGAATATGGTCAAGTTTCCTCAGTGCTTGTTGTTGCAACGAACTTAGAAAGTTTAAGAGTTTTTCTGAGTTTGAAGTGGAAATGCAGGTTAATGGTGAATCGGGACCAATGTGTACTTCATACAAAATGAAACAAAGTTAAAGAAAAAACTGCTCAAGTTATTACAACACCTGACAAACTTATACGATTTTGTACACCCTGTGTGAAGAATGAGTGCCAATAGGATGGAGGGAGACGCTTAAGGTCAGTGTCACTGCTGTTTGATCTGTAAATGGCACCAACTGGGGCTGTCATACCGCCTCTGATGTTACTGGTAGGGAGGCACTGAACAGACACGAAGGTGTACATGAGAGGACAAGGATGCTGTGTGTGTTCTGTACATTTTTGTCAATTTATTTGTGTGTATATCAGAGTAAACATGTGCTATATGACATCACCAGATACGAGAAAAAGGGGAACAAAGAGCTTCACATTTGTGATTTTAGAATAGCCATTGACTCTTGAGGAATTAAAATTTAGCACTTTGATAAACTTCCTTTGAAGATGTACCTCAATGCTCATTCTCATCCCCACCTGAACTGATTTTTTTAGAAACACTCTCATCTGAACGTCAGAGGAAACTTTACTCTACAGCCTGGGCTTTTTTAGCCCTACGGCTCCACAAATGCTGCTGCTGCATCAAAAGTTAAAGCCTCATGATGCTCTTGATTAATTGTGCATAAGGACATAGAAGCTCAGAGAATTGTACTCTCTTGTAGTCAAAGTGTTTTAATTTCTCAGTTGTGACACAGAGGATCAATTTTGCATCAACACGCTTAACCACACCTGCTGCTTTCCTCCCCAAATCAGGAATCAGGTTCCATCTTTCTCCAGTTCAGCTCCTCCACTGCGCTCCAGTTAGAGGTCATCTTTGAGGTGCTGGAGGAGTACGACTGGACCGCCTTTTCTGTGGTGTCCACGCGTCACCATGGGTACCAGGACTTCCTTTCCGTGGTGGAGGGACTGACGGACGGCTCGTTCATCGGATGGGAGAAGAAGAGTGTTGTTATCCTGAACGTGACCGACGATCCTGGGGGTGCACGCACGCGCAGGCTGCTGAAGGAGAACGAGGCGCAGGTGAGACAGGGGGGAGGGAGGAGGAATAGAGGGAGGAAATGGGAGGAAGTGCTGCGACAATCATTGGGGGCCCCCTTTCGGACAGGTGGCTTCCCAGCTTTTTCCTTCCTTCTTCGTCTCTCCCTCTGCCTCTCCGTCTCTCTCTCTCCCCTCTCTCCTCTATCCCTCTGTTCTTCTCTTTTTATCTGCCATGGCACGAAGGGAACAACAGAACAACCAAAACCACAAGTCAGTCTGATTTCCCCCTGATTCCCCTTTAAGGAAGCTTTAAAACTGAAAACAAATTTGGTATTCGGTGTATACCCTGAACATGGTCCCAGTGGGGTCACACTCACCCTGTACGCGCTTTTATGATATTTTTCCCCCACATTTTTGTGAACTGATAGGCCGATGGGACACCCATATTGCTTCCCCATTGTACGCCCACAAAATCTGCAGTGCACTAAGACCACGAGAGGTTAAATATTTGACCCACTAATTCTGATTGTCCCTCAGGAACTATAAATATAACTAGAAATGTTTGTTTTCTGGCCCTCCTGACATGTACACTTTTTGTGACAAGCACATATTTAGTTCATGTGTTCAATTGATAAGATAAAAAAACACCTTCATGTTGAAATTACTAAACTGATACTTTGACATCAAGATTTTATTTTGTCTGACTTTAATTTCTGAGTTGATGCAGTATGGTAAATGTGATCCAAACTGACCCATGCAAGTAAATTATTGATAAAATGAGATCAGAATGAATTGGGGTTTTGGTTTCTACTCCTGCACTCATTCACTCCTTTAGACTTTATGCTTGCTTGTTCTCTCCTCCCCTTCTTCTTTCACACTTGTATTGCTGCTTCCCTTTTACCCACAAACATCTTCTTTTCCCCCAAATTCCTTTGTTTGTTATTGTTTTGACCAAAAACTAGCTTCCACTCTCACTCCCCTTGATCCCGCTGTTCAAATTTTCAGTTACATTGTGTGTTTTTGTGCTTTTCTTCTCATAACCCCCCTCTCTCTCATCTTACCTCGCTGGCTCCCTCTCCTGCACTTCTTTGCCTAGAGACAAGCCTCAGTAACCTTAGCTGCTTTGCACCTTTATCTCAGCATGGCCATCTTTCATTCCTCCAGTCCACTCCGTACTCGCTGCATGTCTTCCCTGCCACAGGCTCTGCTCTCTGTTGGCTCGGTTTAGTCTGGGTCTCAATGTCATCGCTAATGTCCCGGCATGGCCACTGCATCTCTGCTTGTTGTTGTTAGTAGGTATGTGCACGTGTATTGGATTTCTTAGGCTCCGCTCTGCCAGATCGTTGTTTAAACGACTTAATGCCTGCAGTGATTTGACCATATAAAGACCTAACTATGGAAACTACTTGCCTTTCACAGCCATCCTCTTCCTACTGGGCTTACAATGCTTTTGATGGACTAGTGATGCTGCATATATTTGTTTCTCATGCTCCTGCTCTCTGTGCTGCGGTTTTTGTAATGTCTTCCACATTGTAGATGACCTGATGCAGGTCTGTGGCTCAGTTTCTTCTCAATTCCTCCACTATCTGTGTTTCGTTTTCTCTTCCAGTGTCTGCCTTGTTTGTACTTCTTCTTGTTTTCCCTGTGTACCCATCTTTCTCTATTCTTCATCTTTCGGTAGTGTGTGTATCTGTTTATAAGTCTGATTTCTCTCCTTCGTTCCTCCCTTCTGTCTCTTCTTTCTTCCAGTCTCTCGCCCTCTTTCTCCCTCCTACCTCCTCCCACTCTGTCACTCCCGGTCCATGCCTAATTCACTGGAGGTTTATTGGCACACAGGCAGAATTGTTTTGCCAAGCCATTACAGTTCAAAATTCAATGAAGGCACAATTCTCAGAAAGTGCTTTCCATCTGTATCCCTGACCGGCTACCTTCCAGTGCTTGAAAGAGCCGTCTTTCTCTTTTTGTCCTTCGGTCCTCCTTTGCTTTATTTTCTGTCACTCCATATTTTTCATGTACTTCCTCCCTTTGTCCTTTTGGGTATTTCTCAGCATATAGCAGAGATTATGACTCAAGTCTCAAGCTTAAGGGAAATGCACCTGGGAGGCATCAAAAATGTCTTATTTTAAAATAAAGAACCCACCATGGTGGTGTGGGGTCCCCAGTTGATGTTCCTTTCTAAACCCGTTTTCTTCAATGGCATTGATGTTTTTCTGACAAAACTGTCTATGAATGAAGTACAGTAATCTCTGTTTTTTCATGCATTTCAGCAAGGTGCTTCTAAATTGTGTCAAGCTCATGCATGTCAACTTGTGCTCTTGATGTTCATTCCTCTTTAAGCTCAAATCACGTCTAAGCTGCAAAAACAGACTCGAGATTTGACTTTACTAGCAATATAAACATTTGAGACATGACTACAGCATATGGTCTAGGACTTAAGTATGTTGACGCCTCACACAGCAGCTCTCACAGATGAAACATATGTTTCAGCTGATTGCTATGTGCAATTAATTGATCATCTCTTAGCTGTGGATTCACAAGAATAACCACACAGATATTTTTCAAGCTGATCACAATAACTGCAGTAAATTACTTTTGGTTGTTTAAGAACAAAAAAAAAAAAAAAAAACACAACTTAATCTCTGACGTGTTAATTTAACATTGTTATGCTAATGTCATTCCAAAGAAGTCTTGTCAAAAGGAAAGAAGTTCCTGTTCAAAAACTCATAATTCTCTCATTTATGCACCACATCTCACTGCTCTTTATGTTGTAATTCATAGTGTGATTTGTTGTGAAAATATTTACTGCTTACATTCGTCAACAACAGTTGTAAATGCATATTTATATCAAGCAAATGCTCAGACTCAGTTTGAGGAGGAGGAAAGCCTCTAAACATGAAGCAGTGGATAATTTGAGCACAAGTGTTGACTATGACAACACAAAGACTAACCAGTTCTTCAAAGATAGTATTTCCTGTTTTATTAAATAACAAGTATTGTCTCTACAAACATAAAAAATAAAGAAATAAAGAAACAGATGTGTTAAAATAGAATACATCATTTGAATTAAAAATACACAGCAATGCAACATTATAGGCAGACTGGATGTCAGGCATTTGGTAAAATAATATTTATTTCACTTATTAAGACATGAGATTTGCCCTGGAGTTGAGGTGCAACATTTGAACTTGCCCTTCAAAAACTTCACAGTTAAATTTGACTGAAAACCTAAGCTGAATTTTGCCACAAAGAGTTTTGGGATTTGACATGAAATTTGACTCGGACCAGCACAAAGACTTGAGTCAGACTTGGAAAATGTGACTTGTAAGAGTGTAGCATTTAGTTTTGCTGTGGTTTTCCATCTCTCTCCACAGCTCCATATTTCTGTCTGTTTGCTTTAACCCTTTGGATGCTGGATGATCTCGCTGCTGGAGAGATGAAGATAGACAGACAGTATAGTTTTTCTATTGCCTCTTAATATTTTTTCTCTCTTTAGCTCCAGACCTCAATCATTCCTCCCTTTTCTGTTACAAATATTTTCTATTTCTCCAGGCACTGATTTGACAAAAATATGCATTCCTTTGCTTTTCTCCACTACCCCCATCTCCCCTTTCTGATCTCTAAGGAGTTGTATTCCCATCTCTGACTTCTTCCCTCGATCTGCTCATTTTGCCTCTGTTGTCCACAGGTCTCTCCTCCAATGTGCTTTTAAAAAGATATTTTACAGTTTAACCTCTCCTCCCTTCATCCTCCCCTCTCATGTGCTTAGTCTTTTCACTGTCTTTTCTTTTCCACTCATATTTCTTTGCTCCACCACTCGTTTCATTTTCCCTTTCTTGTTTTGATCCCGTTTTTATTATTCATTACTGTAACTTGTTTCATCAGGTCTAAGCTCATTAGGCTCTGACCTCTATTGCCTCTCATACCTCCAGGTTGGCAAACACAGCCACACAGTCAGACTTACTTTTGTGTGTGCGCGTTTTCATTTGAAGTCATACACTCGACTTCCATAAACCTTATCACATCGCCTTACCGCTATCTCTCCTTATACCTCCTGCAGCATTCTTGTTATTGGTTGATATGGCTTTTTCTTTCCATCTTCATCTTCCTCTCCGCTTCTTTATTTGTCTCCCTGCTTTTCCTTCCCTCTGTCTTACTCCATGTGTTCCCTTTCCCCTCCTTATCTCACTGGAGTGTATGTGTGTGTGTGTGTCTTCCCCCTTTCCCGTTCCCTCCCTGCCTCCCTTCTGTCCTCCAGGTGCGCCTACTGTACTGCTCTCAGGAGGAGGCTGAGCTGGTCTTCCGTGCTGCCTGGGCCGCTGGTCAGGCTGGGGCCTCGCACATGTGGTTTGCAGTGGGCCCCTCTCTCTCGGGTCTGGGCATGGAGAGCTTGCCTCGGGCGTTATTCGCCGTTCGGCCCCAGGGCTGGAGGGACGAGCCTCGTCGAAGGATCGCTCGGGGTGTGTCTGTGCTCACTCACGGAGCGGTGGCAATGCGCAAGGAATACGGAAGCACGGGCGGGCCAAACTTTGTCACCACATGCATGACAGATGCCAATCAGACCCAGAGACTGCGAAGCAGGATGAGGTAAAACAGGAAGTTTTCAATAAATTACCTAATATCAGGTGATTTATAAAGCTCTTCTATCTCTTGAATCTTTTCACATTGTATCACGTTACATCTGCAAACATCAAAGTATTTTATGGACTACAGGTAAATTTTTTAGACATATATCCGCTCGACACACCTGAGTTTTAAAAATTTGTTTTTTGTCATAAATCTGCAGAAGTTGCTTGCATGCCGAGGGACGAGTTTAACCATTTAGATGTTTTGGACCTTTGACATATCTTAAAATTGTCCAAGAGGTTTGGAGTTTGAGACCCATGTGACAGACCAAGAAATGATGCATAATTTATAAATTATTTTATTCTTGAATAGAAATTGGTTTTAAGATAAAATCTGAAAATTATTGCATGGATTTGTGTTTTGCATATGTCGTTTTCTAAATTAAATCGAATCCAATGCTTTTGCCTTCAAAAGTGATCTAATTGTGAAGTGTAACCCAACTTTTTAAAAATTTTATGTTCAGTATAAATCCATCTAAGCTCTGAAGGTCTCAAAATTTTGACAGAGAAGGTCAGTGAAGAAAAAGCATCACAAAGACCAAGGAACACAGCAGACAGGAAATTACAGAGATGCTTAAAGTAGGACAAGCGTATAAAACAGTATCTAGCTTTGAGTATTTCACACTTGAAAAAAGTATTACACATTTGAAAACTAACCGAATAAAAATCCAATAAAGATTTCTCTCAGGAAAAGAAAATGAAAACAATAATAATAATGATGATAATACAGACCTTTGGGCACTTAAATAACTTAGAAACATCATAATATGTAGGAGAAAACATAAAAAGGCCAGACAAACAGAGCATTAATCAGCGAAGCACTCGTCAGTCATCCATAAGCATCTGGACTCCCTCAGTCTGCTTATCACAATGGAGTTGGTGTTGAAGACTCCTTCATACACCTGCTTCAACAAACCCACCCTCATTTGGACAAAGTTGGCAGCATTATGATGATTTATTCATTTATTTCTCAAGTGCAGTTATCACAATTCAGCCTGATTTGCTTTGTCAGAAACTCCAAAATCCTAGATGAAGGACTTAAAATGCTGAGGAGGTAATTTGATTCAGGTGTGTAAAACTGGGGAACACACCTAAAAGTTTCAGGACATACTGTTAAAACTTAAAGCAGCAAGTGCAATGGAAAGTATGAACTGACCTGTCTACAGTATTGCTTGGACTTTTTGATGCTATTTGTTTATTAATCTTCTCTACCAACATTTGTTTCCTTCACAGAGTAGCTGCATATATGCTTTGATAAATGATGTATAGATGAACTCTATTTACTAAGTAGTGAGAGGTGGCAAGTATTTATACTATATTTCATTTAAGGGTATCACACAAACACACACTACACATTTCAGATATTCAATTGTAAAAAAAAAAAAAAAAACATGAAGCATTTTCTGTCACTTTGCAAAAATGTGCTACTTTTTAAGGCTCCTTCAAATAAAATCCCAGCAAAACATGTTGAACTTTCTGATAAAATGCAAAACAATTTAAGGTGTCTGAATGCTTTTGCAATTCACTGTAAAAGATAGCTTACAGGCACCAGACTAAATATGTTAAACAGGTGGAAACAAAAATAGAAGCGGCATAAGGTGAAATTTGTCAGAGAGAATATTTGGTTCATGGCCAGAATTAGCCGGGAGATATATGGGTGGAATTTTAGATTCAGAGTCAGGGAGCAGGCACACGGGGGATATCTGAATTTGGGGCTGGCTATCATCCATGCAAAATAGATGATGTTGGTGCGTGTAGTTGTGAGTTGGCAAAATTACCGTAGCATCTGTAGCAAGCGGACCATGTCTCATGTATATTAATGAGGGGCTTTTAATATATTCCTTATAGGCTGTACAAACACATAGTAACAGACTCAAACAGGTTGCACAAGTGGCCCTCGTTATCATCCTGGATTATTTTTAGCATTGTTTAATCTTACAACAGCTATGCACTGCAAGTGTATCATACTGATATCAGGGAACCTGGTTGCTCAAATTGGCTCAAACGGGTAATTAATTTGTTTATTTGCAGTCATTTTTGTAAATGATGCAGAGCACCAACAGTGAGGCAATTATGTTGAAATGATTAATGGATTCTTCTGTGTTTGTAAACTATGTCCAGGAACAAGAATAGAAAGCTGTTTTCATTTCCATCTTTTTGCACTGCTACCTACTGTTCACTGTCTGCAACTACAACCTCAAGCTCTTTGTCAACTGAAAAAAAGCTTTCACTTTTCTTTTTTATTTATTTGGAGATAACATTTGAAGTTCTGTCCTGTGATTATCACTCACACTATAGAGGTTGAAGCCCCTGCAGAGAGCAGCAATTGTTTGATTTCAAAGATCCTGACAGTTTCGTGTGTCTGATCATTTGTCTGTTGATTTGATTAACAGAAAATCCAGACTGTCATCACAGAGCCTCTGTGGTTTAGCATCAAACAAGTAAAGCATATGACAGGTGCTCTGTTGTAGAAAATACATTGAGATTTTTGATTCTGCCCTTCGCTTAGAAAAAAACAAAACAAACAAAAAAACAGTTGGTTTAACATTGTGTGTTTTTGCTACTAAAAATGAACAATGAGCCAGAATTCCAGTATTTTGCTACTTAGCAATTTCATCATGTCTACAGCAAATAATGCCTCATTCACAAAAATGAGGCATTATTTGCACTTGTGTGGTTCATATGAAAATACATAAAATTGGATGGGTTTTTCCCTAAATGCTTGCAATATGCCACTTTTTAAGAGAAAAATTGTTTGCTTTGAAAATATATTTTTGGAGAATATTTGTTTCCTTCTACTTTTGGAATTGGTCGCATGTATAAACTCAGGCTTAGCTAACAGCTAATAACTGTGAATCAACCTCAGTTTTGAAAAACATGCAAACAAAACATGGTTGCACACCTTACTGGGGTGCAAATGCCAAAATAGGTGCAGTACTACAACACCAGATATCAGGCACTGAGTTCAAACTTAACATCCCTTGGGTATTGTAAAAACGATTTCTACTTCCTCTACTTACGATTTCTGTCTTCCACTTCTCTCTGTCTAACATGCAGGTATTTCGGCAACATAACGCTTGGTGGTCGAGACTATTCCTTCAACAGCGACGGTTACCTGGCCAACCCTTTCTTGGACGTCATCTCTTGGACACCTGGAAGAGGCTGGGAAGATGTAAGGACATGAAATCAGTTTTATTTATAACCATGTGTTTGCAATGACCATCAACATGTGAGGAAAGGGTTTACACCACATAGTATTTATGATTGGTAAAGCAACAATTTTCTGTGTAAATCTGTAAAGTGGGGGATATGTAATTATTTAAATAAGTGTTGAATTTATATATTTGTTCACATGGATAGTGCGCTGATATTCTTTCCTTACATCATAATAAATCAACAATGAAAAAATGTTATTGTTTATTTTAAAGCAAAATCCCTGATTATTTTGAAGATATTCCCAACTACAGCTTCATCTCCAGTTTGAAAGTGGGAAAGTACAAATATGTTTTTTTTTTTTTTTTTTGTTTTTTTTTTGCTGTTTTAAGCAACATCAGAGTCTTGATTGCTCTGTGTAAGCATGAAGAAAAGAGCTATTCTGCATTAGCATCTGACAAAAAGAGCTTGAGGCGAGCAGGGAGGACAGGTGGGTTCTAAGGTTTAATGTTCATGTAAAGTTCACTCAGGCTGTCAGGGCCCTAAGGCAAAAGGCAGACGATTTCTGCTGACCGTTTAACTGTACTTGCTTCGACTTGATGCTCTTGTTATGTTGCTGCTGTTGCTCCATGTCTATTTTCCTGTAACACTTTCACTTAAAATGCTATGATCAGACTTTTAGTGGCCAATGCAAATTACTGGTCAGCTTCCTTTCAGTTTCGCCCATAGCTTACAATCTTTGGCAGAATCAAACAAACTAAAGATGCTAAAAACAGATAAAAAAAAAAAAAGGAAAATGTGCTGCAGGATTTTTAATAAAGATAGTTAGGAAGAGAAAAAAAGAAATAAAAACATTATTCCCATTTATGTCTCTAACCCTAATGAGATTTGTGCTCATCCAAAAACTGCAGAGAAATACAGAGGATCAAAAAAAAAATTAACTCACTATGCAGAAATTTACCTGTTAATATTATTAAAATGTTTAAATAAAACACAAAACAATTTCTGCGGGACAGCCTTCAAGACTAACATGAAGAGTGTTAAAAGGGCATGTTCTCTGTAAAAAACAAAACAACAAAAAACCTTTGTTTAAAATGATTACAGATTATTTTATGAGGAGGAGACATTACTTGGTGTTCTGAATCACAAGTACTCAGCCCATAAATCAAATCAAAATTCTCATATTTTAGAACCACCTACTTCTTGCAGAATGACTCTCATGTAACTCTCTCCATGGAGAGAGTGAAACATGAAACATGGCTGTAGATGGCTCTTTTCTGCCCCATACTTCAAAATGTCAGTAAATATGCCGATGACATTGTTATTGTACAGAGCCATGCTGGGTGAGACATCAGCTTTGTTTGGGTGACATTGTGCACAAAGGCTTTTTCCCACATTGTACACACCTCTGTGATGCTGTGGAAGTAAACACTTCTCTACCACTGCTGCTTCTTTGTGAATGTTGTAGCTGGCAGAGGAGAAGCACGGAAAACATGAGACAGGAAATATAGCACACATTTGACAGCAACAGGTGGTGCATGCAGTGCTATAAAAAACATTTTGTCATCCTAAAGATTTATTCTTTTGCTTTTATGGCATAGTTCAGTATTTCAGATCATGAAAGAAATTGTAATATCCTGTCTCAACCATCTTGATCCTACTTGAGAAAATGCAACCATCCCCACTTGTTAAAGTATATCATTTCAGCTCAGTTTTACCTGGGAATTTTAGAAGGCAGGGTAGATATACGAAAAAGAAACTGAAGCACTGATCTTGGAGCACATTTTATTCTGAAGAAAAGTAAAAATGTTAATAACAGAAGGAGAACGTTTAGTTGTTGGCAGCAGTCGATGCCCCCCTGCAGGAAGGTACCACTGCTAGACAGAACGACATGCCAGATGGAGCTTCTATCAAGAGTAAAAAACGAGGAAAAACATAAAGCTAAAAGTCGAAATAACAGCAAAAAAAAAAAAGCAAACTGGAGAGAAGGAGGAGAATGAGTGATCAGACAAGTGTCAGTTTTTCCTCCAGCAGCTTAGACAGCAAAAAATAACCTTGGGACACTTTCAACTATAATCTGACCCAGCTGGTGTAAAAATAAGGAATTCATATTGAAAGTCAAACACAGCGGTGGTAGTGTGGTGGTCAGGAGCTGCTTTGATGCTGCATTACTGAGGCAAGTGGCTATTTGATGGACCCATAAACTCTACGCTCAGCCAGATAATCCTGAAGGAGAATGCCAGTTCATGACCTTAAACTCAAGCATACTTTAATTATGCTGCAGGACAATGATCTAAAGGACGCCATTAAGTTCACTTCTGAATGGCTCAAAAAAAAGAGAAAAACTAAAATAAAGGCTTTTGAAAGTTCAGGCTTGAATCCAATTAAGATGCTGCAGACTAACCTTAAGTAGGCCATTCAAAAACTATCTGATGTGGTTTAATTAAATTTGAATTTTACAAGAAACACATTACCAGTTGTTGCAAACGCTTGACGTTAGTTCAGGCCACCAAGAGCGGTACAACTCTTGCATACCCCTAAACCTACAATTAGGTTTAGGGGTATCCTTCTGTTTCCATTTAAATTACGCTGGTCTGGATATTTATTCTGTCAGTACTTTGAAACAGCTTTTCATATTTATTTGGATTATATTGTAGAAAACCTTTTTTACTGCCCTGCATAATGGCAAAACAGAGACAGAGTTTCAAGAGGAACACAGAAGCCATCCTGTACATTCCTGTTTGTGGAGGAAATCTTGTGTTTGGCACATTCATGGATTTACGAAGTTCTGTTGCTGATGTTGGTTGATGTTTTTATAGATCAGAAAAGGTGAGTGTTCTTAGTTTTGAGGCATGTGAAAAATCAGGAACGAAAAAAAGAAACCTAAGCTCTCAGCTCTGAGGGAGTTATTCCATCATGTTTGTTTCTCAGGCTACTTTGTGAACCTTCTCAACTGCAGCTTGTAGATTTTTGGTCACATTTGCAATCTACGGAAGTGTTTTTTTTATTATTATTTATTTATGATTTGACAAATATGAAATGAGGAAAACCAGCATGGCCACAGGAAAATGTAAAAGTTGGAATCCCCCTTCAGCTTGTGCTAGCTTTTCCTTGTACTCCTTTTGCTGGCTAAGAGGATTCAGAGAGGGACAGCAACATAAGGAGGGTTTGAACAACAAATAATCACTTGAACTTAAACTCTCAGATTAAATGGTGTATTAGCAGTAGCTTAATTTTGGACTGCATTGCTGCAGAAAGCACACTTTCTGGATTTTGTCAGCTTTTACATTGGATGATAACTAAAAAGGATTAATATTTTATCAAAATAATGATAATTCATGTACAAAAACAACTGAACATTCAACTCAGACTAAAAACAAGGTCATACAATAGACGAACATTATTTAAAAAAAATATTAACAAAAAGTGAACACTAATACAAAGTGTGATGTCTACGTATTTTAAAAAACTACCCATCGGCTTAACAGGAAATAAAAAGTTGACAGATTTATTTGTTGACATAGTGTACTCATCTTTTTTCTAATTCAACAGCCTTCCTGTTGTCATATTTTTTTATTAGTCGTTAGTCACCAATAACCCTCCGTTATATTTGGTCAAAAATGGCTGATTATCCTTCATCCAGGCTGCAGGTCTTTGCTTGGAAGGAAACACACATGAAAGATGGAGAAAGTTAAGATTTTGGGATGTTTATGATTTCTTCTAGTAGACATACATGCAATACTTTATGTGTGCTTCTCAAACATCACCAGCATTAGTGTGTCATGAATATTCTGTAAAACTGTTTCTCTTTCCTTCATGCCAGGAAGTCTTGTTACCTGCTGGAGATGGTTTCCCTTTTTATACAGAGGGATTTCACCCCCAGTCAGTGTCAGAGGAGTGTGAGCGCTGCTCATTTTCTCAGCTCTACACCCGCTCCTTAACGCCACCCTGCACATGCACAAAGACGCGCAACCTACTCAGATCATACTCTCCTGCAATGGCACAAATAGGAACATGTGAGCATGCAAACACACATTGATGGTTCTCAGCTTCCTGCTGGTTTTAACAGCCCACCAGCGTCCAGTCTCAGCATGTCGTAACACGTTGACTCCTGCCATATCCCTCAAATCCCTTTCAATTAGAGACTCCTGCAATGGTCCTTCATATGGGTGCAAACCCAGTGTGCAAAACTCGCCCACACACACAGACCAACACACACATACTCAGGTCGTCCACATAAACATCCACAAGTGTCCACGTGAAGGAGAGAGCATACTGTATGCTCACACAAATATGCTCACACCCCTTCTTGCATAAACCCAATGCCTCTATCTGCCTATTATGCACATCCATTCTGTTGAATATTTAATGTTCTTTTTACAATGACTGCACCATTACTTAGAGCCTGGGAGCCCCCAGCTTAGCTCTCCGAAACACTGCAAACGAGTGCTGAAGGTTGTCCAGCATTAAACAGGGCCGTCTTTCGGCTGTGGACGGAGCACAGACAGTGAGTGGTTTCGGGAAATTAACAAAATTTAATAAACGTTTGATAAAGCTCCCCTCAGCTGCTAAGAAGTAAAACTTCAGTTTAAAGTGGCTCCCAGTCCTCAAACTTTTGCTCCGAGGCAGAATACTTTCTCTGCCGCACCATATTCAACTAGTTTTTAGACTTTGCAGTGCTATTTTCTTCTTTTTCTTTTTCTGACATATGTGTCTGCTCCTTTCGGGGTATTTGTCTTATAGAGTGCAGCGTTCCCCTCAGTAAGCTTTGTCTGTTTCCTGTCTGTGTTCCCTCACAGTGTTTTGATTGAATGTCTGTTGCTGAGTTGCGGTCGAAGTGCAGTCGAGACACTGTCATTGTTGCCACCCCCTCCTCCTCTCTGCCAACGCTTACATTACACTGACAGGCAGACTGCACAAAAGCTGCCAAACTTTACTCTTCTGGGCTGCCTGAGCAATCACATTTTTATTTTTAGCTTTCTTTTAAATATATACAGTATAAATGTGTGTGCGTGTGAT